AACTTGTCAGGTTGTTCCATTGACCAGAGTTGCTACAAAGACATTTAGAGCAGGTAGGTTTACCTGTTTACGTAGACAATGATTTAATAGCCTTGCTTTTTAGTAGTCTAAAAAATCCTTCCTTCTTTCCTCTTCAATCCAAAAATGCTACATAAAAACAGAAGAAAAAAGGAGGAAGAGGCTTTCAGGCAGCTCACAGAAGAAATATTATAAGAGGCCAACATGAGAGAGAAGTAGCAGAAAGAAAACGTAGGCAAGAGGAACAGCTGGAATCTGAGCCGTGAGTATATTTTAATATGGGATGTCTGCAAGTTGCAGGAATACTTTGAAACTAACAGGAGGAAACAAAATCTGAAAAAAAAATCAATGTAGTTTGCACTGTGTTCTGTTGTTCTCTCCCCCCACCCTTTTTTGTCTAGCAGTATTTACCCTTTTTTCCGTGGAGAGTAAAAAAACTCCTCTAAATCAATATGTACAATTGTGGGAGGATGGGAAGAATTGAACCTAGAAATTAAGCAATGTCCATCTTTCAGTGACTTAGAATTTCTAGCACGAGGACAGCTGGTGGGTTCTTTTCAGAAGTATCATTGTTCAGCACAGCCATGTACTTTACCTTAAGTCTGGAATACATTAGAGAGACTGGTAGGATCTATTAGTCCATGGCTATGGATTTTTGATCAGGTTGTGGAATGCCTAGGGTTCCCTGGAAAACATTTCCTTCTCTGTCTGGCAGCTGGAGCACACACCGTCAGACAGAACAAGGAAAAAATTAAGACTTATGCTACTCTGGCACTGCAAAGCCAGTTGAGTGATATCAAGAGCAGTCTGCATTCAGAAGATAATTTATGACAAATGAATCAAGCATGAGCATGGAGAGAAGATCCTGCCAGAAACTTGGGGGGTGGGACAGTAGGAAGAAATCTGACCCATTCTCAAGAGCTATTCTGCAAATGGGTGAAGAAGCTGCCACCGCAAGAGCATGATGTTCCCATTCCCACAGTTGGTGGGAGGGCAGAAGAAAGGGAGAACAAGGTAAAAGTCCTGAGAAACAGGAGGAGGAGAATGGTCCCCTTCACTTGTAACAACAAAATTCTAACTTCTTCCCGTATATTAACAGAAATCTAGTTTGTTTGGGGCTTTTTATCCTCTAGCTCTTTCTCCTCCTCCTCCTCCTGTCATTCATTCCTTCCCTGGAAACCTAATATACTTCCCTTTCTTACCTGCAGCAAATCTATGCGTTTCCAGCTAAAGGAAATGGTAAGGACTAAATTGTCCTTGCCTTTTTTCCTACTCTTAATGTTTTACTGTTTAAATCTGATAGGTACTGATTGATTTCTGCAGTAAACTGTCATGCATTGATTTGATTATACTAATTAAATCTCTTCTACTTTTAAACGGCTCTCATATTTCATGCACTGGAGAGTAGATAGAGCTTTGCTTCAGTAAAATAAAAGCAGCCACTTTTCTTAGTGACTGCATAGCTTTGATTATAGCTGATGACCAATATTAATTGCAAAACTTAATACTAATTAAAAGTGAAGACTTTTTTCCTTTTGTGCTGTCTGCCTTCAAGATTCCTCTATGAATATGCGGAATATAGGCTGGGGTGTTTTTTGTTACCTTTCTCATTACTTTAACATCCGTTTTCTAGTCTTTGTGACGACTTCATTAGTATTATTAATATTTATATAAGCCTAATAGCAGTGCTTCTTGCCAAAGCCATGGAAGTCTCACTTTTTCAAAGGGCATAGGTCTATGCAGTTGCTGACTGAAGTAAAATCTTATGTTTTTGAAAATCTTTGATTCTGTAATTGGATAGAAAATGAAAGGAACATGGAAGATGTCAGAGAGGCAGGACGGAACTTCTGGATGCGTACTGTTGTGACAAGAAGAAAATCATGTACAAAATATTTAATCATAGCATGCTGAAATATGCAAATTTTAAAGTGAGGCTTTGAAACTCCTCAGCAAGACAAGACTGAGGACTTGCTGAACAGGGGTTCATGATCTCTGAATAAAGAGTTAAAAAGCTTCTTTGACAGGCTTTTATAACGTGTATTCCTCCTGTAACTAAGATGGAACCAAGCTTTGTATTTTCCTGAGTCCTGGTTTTATTTTTAGTGAGGTAATTAGAGAAACAGCCAGGAGACTTCACTGAATTTATAATAACCTTTTTTCCTTTATTATGCTATTGGTTATATTAAAATTATCATTGATACATTACAGTCAGTTGTAGGATGCTTAGCTGTTGATTACGTGAGAAAATAAGTCACATAGGAACGATTCAAGAAAGATAAATATTTTCCTATAATTCCCTGTGGTAAATGTAAATGGCAGTTTAAAATTTGTCATTCCATTCAAAATATTTTCTCTCTCCATAAATCTGTTTCATACAATGCAGTTTTACAAATCTTCACATACAAACAAACCAGATTAAAAACAAGACATATTTGTAAATTGTATTAAGTACTGTAATTTGCTGCTTCTAGGAGAAAACATCTGTCAGGGTGGAAGATTTATTACCTGCAATATCTTAGATGAATAAATAAATTGCACTAATTTATTTCAGTCTTTGAAAATCGAGGTTTAGCTTTTATGTTTTAACATGCTAATGTTTGGGTGAGACAGTACCTACAACATGGCATCTTATTTTTAAATTTTTTTTTTTTAAAGACTGAGGAACGGCCTTTAAAAGACAACATTGTAAAAACATACTTTAACATTTTTGATAGGCAGAGTAAAGAAGAAGGCAAGAAGCCAGAAGCTAAGAAGACTGAGAAGAAGAGAGGTTAGTTTAAAGAAGCTAAACAGATGTTTTTGGTCATCTTGAATTTTGAACAGAAGTATCTATCTGGATAAAACAACTTACTGCTAAGGGGGTTTGGGGATCTCAGCCCAGTACATTTGATCCCAGACTGCTTCCTTCAGATTTGTGAAGCTGCGCGTTCTTGTTAAACATTGTTTCTTCAGTGCATCAGAACAGGTCTTCACTATTCCCATTTTACTGTCATCTGAGCTTTTAAACCTTTCCAGATGATCACTTCTGTTGGTGAACAGAAAGCAAAAGTTCTGATTCTTTGAACTGAATCTCTTTAGTTTGCTCTTCTTGCTTTTTCCTTTCTGTTGCTTCATAGCAGAATAATCTGAAGAGCCTCTTGCAAGTATTTAGAAATTACCTCTTCCCAAGCAAGAAGCTTAGATCCAGGATGATTACTGTGGTTTTGTCCATTAACCCAGACTTATAACCTAACCTTTATAAGGATAAGTATTTTCCCTTTTTAGTATTCCCTTAGTTATGTTTTTTCTTTTAAGGGCAGTCCAAACTACCACTGGCTTTAATCTGTTACAGAGTAAAGATCTAGTGGCATGGACTCCAACCAGTTGCAGTGTTGGCAGGGAAGACATTTTTATCTAAACCCATCCAGGACAGACTAGACTTATATAAAAAAAAACAATGTTGCCTGCAGTATTGTTCAGGATCTAGTCAATGATATATTACAAAAATCCAAACAGGCATTCAGTGCAAATGAGCAAGATGGCATCTTCATTTGTCTCACACACCTGTCAGATGATGTCTATTGCAAACCATTTTATTGGATGGAGTTGGACTGTGATTGAAATGATTTTGTGCAACTGACTGGAAAAAGAAAAGCTTCAGTATCCAGATACCCTTTCATCAAAGGCTTTCCAGCTTTTTAACTCTTATTATTTAGTGAAACTTCCTTTTAACCTGGTGGACAAATGGATTTTGTGACAGCTGGATATTGTGATAGAAAATAATTTTCAATTTGTAATTCCTGAGAAGAAAACTATATAGGCTGCTAATAGTGTCCAACTGAAAAAAAGCTAAATACTGTATTTTTGATCGTAAGCTCCATACTATATTCATCTGTGCGCCTGTTGGGTTTATTTGATGTGATTGCCTGTCCATATTTTTTTCAGTCTGTGTCGAGTTTAGGTTTGCAGAAAGGTTTCTGCAAAAACAAACCTGATATCATTAATAAATATTCATACATGCTATTTTTAATCTTTAGAAACTTCAATGGATTCTAGGCTTCAAAGGATACATGCAGAAATTAAAAACTCGCTGAAAATTGATAATCTTGTAAGTATTTTTTTTTTAAACTGATGTATATGTTCAATTCTGGCAGGAAACACTTTTGGCATACATGTTTCTCTTAATATTTAGAGAAGGAAAAGAATTTCTTCAGTTTGAAAGACAGCTATACTGTTCAAATGAGGGTATTGTAAAGACTAGAAGATAGATTGTTGAAACTTATTTAAAAAGACTTTATTATAAATTATTTACCAGAAACATTCAGACAAAATTCAGTCAAATAAAGCATCTGTGCCAGCTGAGCTTGAGCCATGCAGGAGCACCAGAAGCAATGAATGTTGGTAGTGGGAGACTCCCTGTGGTGGGGAAGAGGCCCCCATCTGTTAACCTGGCCTGTCATCCAGGCAGGTTTGCTGCTTGCCAGGGGCTTGTATTTGGGACGTTGCTGAAAGACTGCTGAGGCTTATCTAGCCCTCAGGCTATTATCTGCTGCTGCTCTTTTGCCTGGAACAAAGATATGGCCAGGGGTGACCTGGAAAGTGTCAGGTGTGTCTGCATGGCTATGGGGACTGTGGTCAAAGGCATGGGAGCCCAGGTGGTGTTCTCTATCCTATGGGTGAGAGGAAGGCGTTTGTGAAGGACTGGACAAATCCTGTGGGTCAACAATTGGTTGGGTAGCTGGTGTCAGCAACAGGGTTTTTAGCTTTTATGGTAATGGGACCCTCTCTGAGGATCAAGGACTACTAGGAAGAGGTGGGATCCCCCTGACTAAGTATGGCAAAAGTACTTTGCCAGCTGGCTGGCCAGCCTGGTAAGAAAAGCTTTAAACTAGGAACAGCAAGGGATGGAAAGGATGATCAGCAATCCAGTGAGGAAGTGGTGGACTGTGTTGGCAAGCAAGGGATGCAGCGTGACGTGAACAGAAGGGACACTGTAATCAACAAAACAGGGCTGAACCGGGGTCACCCCAAGCATATGCACACAGGGAAGTGCCGAGAGGACTGCATTATGAGGAAAGATCTGGAACCATTTCTTGAAAATCAGCGCAGTGGGGTGCCTCGCTTAAGTGCCTGTATACTGATATACACAGCATAGGGAGCAAACAGGAGGAATTAGTTGCAGTGCTGTGGTCTCACTGACATCGCAGAGATCTGGTGGGCTGGGTCACACAACTGGAATGCTGCAATGGATGGATACAGGCTTTTAGGAAGGACAGGCCAGGAAGGTGAGGAGCAGGAAGAATCATCTTTTACATTACAGGGCAGCAGGGATGCATGGATCTTTGTTTTGAGACAGATGATGAGTGAGCCAAGAGCTCCTGGCTGAGGATTAGCAGGCAAACTAACGTGGGTGACGCTGTGGGTGTCTGCTGCAGACCACCTTGATCAGAGAGAAGTAGAAAATAAGGTGGCCTTCATCTAACTGGAAGAATCCTCAGGTTCACAGCCTCTGGTACTCATTGAACCACCCCAATATCAGCTAGAGGGGTAACACAGCAGTGCATAAGCAATGCAGGAGGCTTCTGGAATGAATAATGATAATTTCCTAACACAGACAATCAAGGAGCTGAGAGGGAGAGGCATTCTGCTGGACCTCATACTTGAAAAGAAGAACTGTTTGGGACTGCAGCCGAGGCTGCCCCTGACTTTCACAATGACTATAAGATGGCAGAATTTAGGATCCTGAAAGGAGGGAACAAGGCAAATAGCAGGATCATAACCCTGAACTACAGCAGAATAGACTTCAGCATGTTCAAGGGCCTGCTTGAAAGAGTACTATGGGAGACAGGCATGGGGAGAAGAGTGGTCCAGGAGAGCTGGCTGATTTTTCAAGGATTCCCTCCTCCTTAAGCAAAGGCAGCAGGAAGGCTTCATGGATGAACAAGTTGCTTCTGAATAAACTCCAAGATGAACAGGTACAGGAGGTGGAAGCAGGGACAGGTGGCCCATGAGGAATATATAGACACTGTCCAAGCCAGGCAGGGATGGAGTTAGTTAGGAAAGCCAAAGCCCATCTCCAGTTGAATACGGTGAGGGATGCAAAAGGCAATAAAGACTTCTACAAATACGTCAGCAGCAAAGAGAAGACCAGGGAAAACACAGGCCTGCAGCTGAATGGGCAGGGGAACTGGTGGCATTAAGTATTTCAGCCTTCTTCATGTCCTTTGTCTTCTTTACATCAGTCTTTGCTGGTACAAGCAGCCTTCAGGAATCCCAGGTCCCTGAAACCCATGAGACAGTGCAGAGCAAGTCCAAACTTACTCTCAGTAAAACAAACTGGACGTAAAGTCCATGGGACATGATGGGATGCACAAGTGCTGAGGGAACTGGATAATGTCACTGGGAGGCCACTTTTCACGTATATTTGAAAAGTCATGGTGACTGGGGCAGGTTCCTGAGGACTGGAAGAAAGCAAATATTCTTGTGCAAATATATGCCCCAGAAAGGGCAAAGAGCAGGATCTAGGGAACTACAGGCTGGTCAGCCTCACCTCAATCCTTAGGAAAGTGACAGAACAAATCCTTCTGGAAACCGTCTTCATATACATGAAGGACAAGGCGATTGGGAGTAGTCAGCATAGAGTATGAAGGCAAAACTCTGCTTAACCAGCCTGATGATAGCCTCTACAATGAGATGACTGGCTTTGTGCATGAGGGGAGAACAGTGGGTGGTATTTATTTTGACTTGAGTAAAGCTTTTGATACTGCTTCCTGTCAGATCCTCTTAAACAAGCTGATGAAGTATGGGCTACATAAGTGGACAGGTGGATTAAAACTGGCTAAACAGCTGGGCTCAGAAGGTTGTGAGTGGTAGCATGAAGTCTAGCTAGAGGCCAGTCACTAGTGGCATGCTGCAGGGTTTAATACTGGGGTGAATGCTGTTTAACTTCAAGAACGACCTCGGTGACGGGACAGAGCGCACACTCAGCAAGACAAAACTGAGAGCTGACAGATCAGACAGCTGTGCTGCTATTCACAGGGTCCTCAACAAGCTGGAGAAGGGGGCTTTTGGGAGCATCCTCAATTTCAATTAAGAGAAGTACAAAGCCCTGCACCTGGGGAGGAAGAGTCCCTCACACCAGGACAGGCTGGGTCAACTGGCTGGAAACAAGCCTTCAGGAAAAGGCCCTAGGTGTCCTGGAGAACACAAAGTGGAACATGAACCAACAATGGTCCCCTATGGCAAAGAAGTCCAACAGCCTCCTCAGCTGCACTAGGAAAAGTGTTGCCAGCAGGTCAAAGGAGGTGATTCTTCTCCTCTACTTGACACTGGTCAGGCCACATCTGAAGTGCTGTGTTCGGTTCTGGGCTCCCCGCTACAAGAGAGACAGGGACATAGCTGAGCGAGTCCAGTGAAGGGCCACAAAGACTAATTAAGGGCTTGGAGCATCTCTTGTACAAGGAGAGGCTGAGAGAGCTGGGGCTGTTTAGCCTGGAGAGGAAAAGAGAGAGGGGATCTTATCAATGCATATAAACATCTGAAGGGAGGGTATAAAAAAGACGGAGCCAGACACTTCTCCATGGTGCACAGAGAAAGGGCAAGAGGTAGTGGCCACAAATACAGCAAATACTGTTTAAATATAAGAAAAAAACTTTTTTTTTTTTTCTGTGAGGATGGTTGGACACTAGAGCGTGTTGCCCAAAGACGTTGTGGAGTGTCCATCCTTGGAGACATTGAAAACTCAACTGGATGCGGTCTTGAGCAGCCTGCCATAGCTGACCCTGCCCTAAGCAGGGATGTTGGACTAGATCTCCAGAGCTGCTGCCTGCTGGCCTCAACTGTTCTGTGATTCTGCAAATAGGCATTGTACTTTCTCTTACGTACTTCACTTTAAGTTCTTACACCAATGGAATCCCAAGTCCATTATTAACCTTAGCTGGTGGAAACAGATGGGGCAGGAATATAGCTTTCTACCCTCAACCTTTTATTTTTAAGTCTATTTTAATTTCTAGACCTTTAGTGCTTTAGAACAACAGTACCAGGTGTAATCAGAATCCAAGGGTATCTACATCTTTGTTCTGGTTTGCTTTTTTTTCCTGTAATTGACAGCTCAAATCATGGGACCACACCAAAAATACTTAACCAGTCTCTCTTCTGATTTGAGATCTTTCAGGGGATGCAAACCTTTGAAGACCACTTATATTTACATAACTGAGTAAGACAAGTAGAAGACTCTATTCTTTCCAACCCCCTTCTCCTTTCTATGTACTGACTTTCTTTGACTAATTATGCGATCTTCTCAGAGTACCATGGCATAGAAAGTATTGAAAGGGGTTCAGCCTTTGGTTTCATGAATTTTTTTTTTTTTTGAAGGCTATTTAGGCAGAGAAGCACTGTAGCATAAGCAGTAGCCAGCTGTTTCAACTCAGGAAGTTGTGCTGTCAGAATTAAGCATTATACATTCATTTTCAGTATGGCCTAATATTCAGCTATTTTATTTAAACCAATGCCAATATTTTGAATTGAAATAATTCACTTTAAAATTTTAAATCACAACTTAATGTTTTGGCTTAAATATATTACTCTGTTGGCCTAACCCAGATATTAAATTTCCCTGAAATTAAAAAAAAAAACAAAAACAAAAACAGAACAACAAAAATCTTGAATTCAGAGACATAATAGAACAAACATCTTAAAATGTGGATAAGTGGAAAATTGATTGTAGAGCTAGGGCAAGAACACTTAATTTATCATAATCGTATTTATTAAGTAAACATAAGAATAATAATTCTACTTAGAGTAGGGCTGATGTGTTTTTTTCCCCTATTTCCTTTGAGAACAGAAGCTAAAACTTTCTATAAATATGAAAAATATTGTCATGAGCTGTGCTGGAGATGAATCGTCTTAGTTCTAAATGGAAAATGAAATAAGCAAGAGAAGCTGAAGAAAAGGCAACTGATAGTTAAGACTTAAAGGTCTTCTAAGAAGATTTCAGTGCAGTGGTTCTTGGAAGTGGATCACAAGATCACATTGTAACCTCTGAGTTTCTTGTGTAGTGCATCATTTATCAATTTTTTTTAACTGAAAAGACTATGAAGATAAAGTTCTATACACTAGCTGCAGTCCACTTAAGCTGCTTTGCGACTTTCTCAGTGGCTGATCAGTTGGGAAAATATTACATATGGAATGGGTTGAATATATGGGGAATCAACTTTAGATACTAAAGTACTGAAAATGCAAAAGCAGCATGAAGCTTGAGGCTGTATAATGAAAGTATAAAATTAGTATTACTTACAGGTTATTCAAATAGCATGTGTCTTTGGCATGATAGTAGTTGAAATGCACCCAGCGGTAATCTTTGTTTGCAAGTGTGACTGTATAAATTGTTCTAAACTTAAGTACATAGTCAAATTAAGGATCTTATAGGAAAGTAACATTCAGCATGGAAATGAATTTAGAGTGGCAAATTAAGGATTATTAGCATGTAAGCTGACTCTTCAAACCCACCACTTTGTTTATATACAGGATGTAAAGAGATGTATCGAGGCTCTTGATGAGCTTGCATCCCTTCAAGTCACAATGCAGCAAGCTCAGAAACATACAGAGATGATTTTGACTCTAAAGAAGGTGAGATCTACAATATTATTCAATATAATTTCAAAAGGGAAACATGTATTTTCTTAAATGAAATTGGATTTATTTACTACTTTACAGTATTTAAAAGTCCATAATCTCATTTCAGTTTTAAGCAAAATAAATTAAGAATTTCATCTAGCACTGAATACATACATAGCTATGTGAACAGAGCTGATTGATTGTTTTACTACTTTGGTTTTAGATACGAAAATTCAAAGTTAGCCAGGTTATCATGGAGAAATCTACAATGCTGTATAACAAGTTCAAGACCATGTTTCTAGTTGGGGAAGGAGATTCTGTTCTCTCTCAAGTGCTAAATAAGTCACTTGCTGAGCAGAAGCAGCATGAGGAAGCCAACAAAACCAAAGAACAGTGGAAGAAAGGAACAAACAAAAAAATGGAAAAGGACCAAACAGGTACGTCTTTATTTTTTGTTTCTGGTCACCCAGTCTCTATTCATGGTGAGCTAACTTCAGACGATGTTTGAAGATGAAGGAATTCTAGCTATCAGTTAAAACCTTTATATTATCTGAAATACTCAATATTGTTATAACTAACTATCAAGTTCAAGGGCAAAATTTATGAATATTTTCATGGCTGTTTTCTTTGTTGCTTCAAGGGAAGGGCTTTTGTAAAAAGTGAGAATGCAGCATTTTTTACTTTATAATCCTGCACTCCCGTGGGGGGGGGGGGGGGGCGAATGTTAGGGAGAACAACATACTACCTCCTATCCTTCGAGTGACTTTTGGTGCCTATATTTCCACCTTTTCTTTGCTTAATTCCCTCTACTAGCCTCTTCATATACATGCTACTACATGCAGCAGCAGGTTTTGGCCATGGCCATCTGCATAGCATTTTTGCGATGCGTGATCAGTAGCATAGTCAGGGACTCCTTAACAGTGGTGCAGTCTAACAGTAAAGGAATATTTTTCTTTGGGAAGAAAAGGCCTTTATGCTCTTGGCCATACTATTCAAGATTAATCATGAGCTCTTGTCATGAAATAAAGTGCAGCACAATATTGAAAGTTTTCCCATACTAAAAACTATCCAGTAACTTAAGAGTTAAAAAAAAAAAAAACACCTTTATGAAGGGAATGTAGTACCAAGATACTTTTGCATAGAGGGACAAAGAGAGGCAGACACACTGGCAAGCAGCGCTGCAAAGATGTTTAGATCCTTGAAGATGTAGGAGCTGTACCCATCTATTAAAATCCTTTATATACTTCATCTCCACAAGATTGGACAGAATTTTGATTTACTTTGAATTTGAATCCTGAGAGAAAAATTCAGTGAAATTGTTTGAAGGCTATGGTGCCTTGAGTTGGAATAAACAAGTTGCTGTAAATGAGGATGTTAAGGATTCAGCTTAACTGTAGTTGAAATAGCACTGTATTTGTAACTATTCAGGAAGCAAAGACGATCTTAAAACTTACCTTGATATTTCATGGTGAGAGAAAAGCAACGTATGATGTAGTGAAACTTCCACATAGAAGATTTCTCCCAGCCCCTGTGACAGACATGGTTAAATATTTGAATTAAAAAAATCTACGCTCAAAGACTTACTGCAAGTTGAATGATCTGACTAATGAAGCTACTCCAAGATTTTTTCTATGTAGTAAAATTAACACTAGACTTCAGCAGAAAACACTGGAATACCATTTTGTCCATCAGTCAAACGGAGACATAACAAGCTCATTCAGAATAGCTGGATGCTTCATGAAAAGGGATTTTTCTATTTGCTACGAAGAGAAATTCTAGTTCCTTAACGTTGGTATTTCCTATGCCCTTTTAAAAACGTGAACTGCTGCATTCTGCTGAACTTGTACCATCCTTACCAAGTACTACAATTGCAACAAAATAATAAATTAAAAGCAATGAAATAGCAATTCATTTGCTACTTTTAACTCCTTATTCTTCATCTATCTACTCTGTCACAAGGCGACAATAGCCCTCGTGTTACTTCATTGAATTCTTCTCATGGCAATAAACTCAGACTGATTTAGAGAGTCTAAATAGATCTAACTACTGGAGCGTCACCTTAAAATGGTCTTTCTGCTCTTTATTAGTATCTTCTTAGCCTGTAAATGTTGAGATGAATAGTGTGTTGCATTTTTTCTGAAGTAGCATGGTAGTTTAATAGAGATTTCTTTTTTTTTGTAAACCTGCAATTTTGAATAAAATGGAGCGTCAATTCTGAATTAAACCTAGAGTGACATTCCACAATAATTCACCCAAAAATTCATTCACTTATAATAGCAGGGCAAAATGTTTTATTCATCCCAGTAATTCAGAAAAGGATAAATATTCCTGCTCTGAGTTAACTAAATACAACTACATAGTATATTGGTTATGACAACTGCATGATGGGTATGTTTACTCTTCAAGTAGTTACCACAGTTACTCTTATACACTAAACTTTTTTACTTCATAGATAATCAAAATACGACAGTTTATATACACATTCATTAGAGTTGAAAATAAATGAGAATCCATGGAACTAATAACTCCTTCCAGTTAAACTATCAGAAATTTCCAAAAGTTGTCTGACTGGGCTACAGAAAAAACAAAATGTATTGCTGCTTATGTGCTATTTTCTCACTGCTTGGAATAGAAATAAGCATTAGTCTTATTATCTGTAGTCTGGCACACACAGAAAGAACCAGAAATCTCTTGAAATATATACACTCTCATTTTACATGAGAAAAATCATGGGAGGAGGCTAGGCAGATGAGATTTGGGAAATTGAAATCATATCAGTTCTTTCCTTTATACTGTTTCAGCAGCTAGGTATCAAGATCAGAGGAAAAACATCTCTAGCGTTAGAGTTGATAACACATGGTAGAGAAATTCTTTGGGTCGTCTTCTACCGCAGTTTTGCTTTCTGCAGTACTGTTTTTCCCTCCCCTTCAATTTTAAAGGTTCCAAGGTACTGAATGGAGGCTCTGAAACTCAAGACACCAGCCAAACACAACACAATGGAGATAACACTGAGGAAAAGAAAGATAAGCATGAAGTTGGCAGTAAGAAAAAGTGAGTTAACTACTGCACTAAGCATTTGTTCTGCTAAAGCAAAACAATATAAATAAAACATCCACAGATTTATTTACACATGTTCAGTTACTGTTTTCTTTACAGGGTTCTCTCTCAACTTTACAGAATAATAATAGCATGTTAATTTTGCTCAGGTTTTGAATGAACACTTCAAAAATTGCTTCACTCAATTCTATAGTGTACGCAGAGGAAATTTTAAGGGATGGCCTGTCAGGAGGAAAAAGAGTTTGGACTGAGACGGAGCAAAGTATAACCTTCTGTATTTTAGGCTACTTGATGCTGTTAAGTTGGAAGCAAAGGATGTCTGAACCAAACTGTACAGAAGCTAAAAGGATTTATCAAGGTTTTACAAAATCGTTTATTCAAATCAGTGGAAAAGCCACCTACTCTGATCAGTGTTCTATAATGTGGCTATAGAATTGCCCATATACAGGTAAACTGCATGCTAGAACTCACACTTCTGAAATTTCAGAACTCTTAAGTGTGACAGCTCTACAGAGGACGACATGCTTACCTTACTGTTTCCAATCAAAAAGCCATACGAATGCTTGGATTTTTCTGGAGGTAAATATTTAAAACTAGCCCCAGCAACTCTGTATCTCTCTCTTCTGCCTTATAAGCTAGTACTTTTTAAACAAGACGGACAAACAAATCTCTCTCGTGCAACATAAGGAATGCTTAACAGAATTTTGTGCAAAATGAAGGAAAGGCCTAAAATCAACCTGGAGCTGAACTGTTTTGTTGCAGCACTAATTCTTTTTCTCTGAGGCACAGCCCTTCTGTGACCATGGATTCTTTTTGTCCAGCTGTATCTGCTGAAGAAAGCTTTCCTTTTCATCACTGTTCTCATACTTCTGAAACCAGGCCAGAAGAACTTGCAGTGGGCCAGCAGCTGAGTAATTTGAAATCAGTAACAAAGCAGTTCAGCAGTGGAATATTTGATCAAGTAGTTGAAAATAAATGACTACTTAAGAACTGGCTCGCCAACGTAAAAGTTTTCAGGGCTGTTCCCTGTCTTCTTCCTGCAGAACCTGGCAATAGTTGGATTTTGCAGTGGCAAAAAGACATACTCAGTCAGTTTGCCCTTTATATTTGAAATTAAAAGGATATTTGGGTGCATATATGACACTCCATGATATCAGTCAAAGCAAACTAAAGGCAGATGCTCCAGATACTTGCACATCATGCCTGAAACAAGTTGTTTAAAGGAGAGATACTGGTAAGCAAAATAAACATGAACAAATCATGAACATAAAAAAAACACCACAACAGTTTCCACCTTGCATCTAAGGAAATGATTTGCAAATTTCTTCTCAAATCACAGCTGTCTCAGTTCTGAACTCTAGGTAGCACTGTACCTTTACTCTTTGTTAAAGACGAAACATTTTCATACCTTTCTGAAGATGTAATGCTTCAATAATTTTGGAAGATGGCGGACTTTCATAACTTACTATTGTCCAGAGTGATTGGTGCTTGAGAACCACTTTCTGTTTCTGTGGTGACAGGGGTATATACTGCTTCCTTGGGTTACTTTCTTAAAGTCTGGGGCACAGGCTGAATTTTTCCATAGCACTGAGAAAAGTCATAATTGGTAATATAAGTTAAATGTGCATATGTCACATGAAAAAAAGCTAGGGTGCTTTTTCAAATGAGCTAATACACGTTTGGCAGCAGACCAAGGAGAAACACCTGAATGGAACACAAATCAACCTCTGAACGACTGCCATTCACAGGTTGGTGGTATATTAATGCAGTATGAATCACTGCTGGCTTACCTGAATGTTTGGGGGCAATCATCTTAAGGGGAAGACAGACAGCATTGCTAACTGCTTCAGTTCTCCAGACTTCATCTACTGATGAACGTATATCAGCACCACTTAGTTTATTAAAAACAAGTCATCTAGAATAGGACTTGCTCTCAGCTTTTTTACATGGTCATTAACGTTGCTTTACTATGTTTCTAGGACATCTGGTGAAGAGAGAGAGCTTGAAAAACCATCAAAAGAATCTGCCTTTGAAAACAAATGACACCACTGGAGTGTATTTTTTTAAATAAGATTAAAGAAGATTGTTAAGTTTTGCATTTGAAATCTATAGACTGCTGAAAGTTTTAAATAATTTTATAAGCATAGTATTTTAATGTTAAATTTTGTGGAATAAAAATCCCCTTTAATCTTGGTTTTAAAAATACTTAAACACTTTTGCCAATAGTTTCATCCAGTATTAACATGTAACACATTTGAAAACATGAAGACAAAATTCCATTTAGAAAACAAATGTTACATGAATTAGAGTTGTAGTATATTTTTATCTGACTACTGTATGTTTGTCTAGTTAATAGCAGGAAAAAGTGTAAATACTTTTAACTGCCTGATCGCTCCATTTGTATAAAACCTCCTCACATCCTATGATACTGACCTGTTTGTGCATAGTTTTTCAACGCTTGTCAGGATGTCTTTTCATTGTGTTTTGTAGGAGTTGGAAGCAGCATTTTTATAGCTGTTAAAATGTTAACGTGTGAGTATACTTGATCACTTTTTTTTAAAAGAAGTTTAGTTCTGTTCTTGCAAAACTCATTGTGCCAATTTACTGCTATGTGACTTTTCATGGTTTGCTTTTCGTATAATAAGTATACTAGAAAAACTCTGGTGTTTTCACTGAACCTGTTGCTACACATTGGTTGGAAAACACTTGTCTTGAACAGCTTCTAAAATTAAAGAATTTAAACTGATGTAAGGAAATTGGTTCTTAATAACTTGTATAAACTGACATATTCATGTGGACTATAAATAACCTGTTTTTAGTTTCAGTTTTAAAAGAAGAGCTTGGCCATTGCATTAGCTTGGGGATTTGTAAGTTCAGTTTTATAGAAACACTGGCGAAGAATTTTAAGAGAAGTTTTTAAAGGCATGAAAAGCATGCGATGTGCATGAGCTACACAGAAAATTTTCTCGCGAAACATGCACCTTGCCTTAACATCAGACCTAGGAGAAATTTGTATGCGACTAGAAAATAGTATTTGACAGGATAACGAGGTTAAAATACAAGGCAACTAATTTCTATCACCTTCAAGGCAGCAGCAGAAAAATGTGACTACACCTTCCAAGCAGTGCTTGTGAAGGTTTTAACTCACACTATTCAACAAAAACTTTTAGTAACCTAGAACCACCGAAACAGCATGGTATCAAGTAATGGAAAGTCAGATTATTTCTTGCTTACAAGCCTTGTAAAATTGCCGTAGCCTCTTCAGGCAGCCTGTCTCCTTTTTACCACAGCATTAGGAGGAAGGGGGGACTTCTGCTTACACATAAAACAAGACTGCTATGGATGGCATCTAATACAGAATTTTTTTTCCACTTCAGCTTCAACAGATTGGTACAATTCTTACTTGTTTGCCATTCTGCTTTTACAGTAGTGTTAAACTTGCCACTTAGCAACACTTACCTATTCAGTAATAGGAAATATGCAACATCAGTCCTACATATTTCATGAACTAGGCCAGGTGAAGTTGTAATTCCTGTAGTACTGCTCTCAAACTTTTCTGTTTTTCAGAAGGTGAAGATGACATTTATTTTGAGATTAATGCTTTTTTTTTGGTTTTTTTGCGCTGAAGTCCAGCACTACAGATTCTAAAGTAACTTCTTGTTCTCCTTCTAATTCTGAACAGACAAAAATGCATCTTTGTAGCACTGTCAGTGTTTTTCTGGCCTAACAGTAGGCCAGAAAAGGAAACTGCATGCTAATCTTATTTCGGGGTCGTAGCCTAGCCTCCCCTCCTCTTCCTGTATGTGTTCAAAACAACCAAAAATAACCCTTACTAGTGACCAGACATGCAGGAGAAAGGATGGAAAGGCTGAATCCAGAACTCTAGTATCTGATATTTACTGCACAAGCAGTCTTAAAAGTTCATTCTCTTTAAAAATGCTGTTCTTTGACTAAATAACCAGTCTTTGTCATCTTTGCTAGCTTGCACTACCTGTTGCATTGACTGCTTTTAACCTCGACAGTATCTGTGAAGGTGAGTGGTTTTTTTCTGCCACTCCTCCTGAGACCATGTGTGCAACATGAAGTTACTACAGACAGGCTGCTGCTAATGCCTGTTTTGAAGTAGTTTGACTAACTCTTAACTGACCACTCGTGCAGTGGTACACCTGGATGCTGTTACTGCTTGTATGTTGTCTTTACCAGAACCTATTACATTTACTTAAGTTTCATTAATCTGTAAACTGGTTGCAATATTAAGACTAGGCAAAATTATGGTTTGGTAATTACAGTACATATTAAAAACACTACTTTCCAGCAGTTGAATTTAGATGCCTGTTTTACTGCATTTATTCACCAAGTTTAATAATGTTAGAATATTCTGCATGCCTTCTAAAGACTAATTCACTACACTGAGCTGAGGAGTTTAAGTTTTATATATGCAAAGATGTTTTACCCCTACCGTTCTGTAGTACTTCACTATCAGCTTTTTAGTCGTTTGTGCTGTGTCAGTGGATAGAAGCATACGTACATGTTTATATCTGTACTGATCACTACCACCTTTCTGCCATAAGTTGCAAACTCTGTATTCTATCTTACCCACTGTCTTAACCAAGAAGCATGCTCATAAATTACTTTTTGTACAAAACATACAGTGGCATAAAACAAATAAAAAACACACCTCATATACCAAGTTCTGCTGTTTTAATATACTGATTTGCATATTCTAAGAGAGGCAGAGGCCCTCACATATTAAATATAAGGCCCCTGATGACAACTTTTCTTTAGTATGTTTCATAGATTGAATAGGAACGGGTCAGTAGACTCAGGCTGAAAACAACTTTGGAGTGAGGTGGCACAGGTAGAGAAGATACGTACATTATAATTAGGTCAGATAGTCTAAATTTGTAGACTGACAACCATAGCCAGTCATCCAAACAGCTTATAAAAAGAGTTCTTTCATGCTACAAACTACAAAAACGCCAGAAGGCAGCTGGACTGAAGGACGGACTGGTTATTTCTATACGTGTGCCTTGATCCAGTTACCACTCAGTAAAACCAAGCTGGCTTTTAAGCTGAAGAACACACTTCAGAGTTGAAACATCATGTCATACTAACTAATTCAGAACATGCTGTACAGGCCTTCATTCTGCTAATTATTTTGCACAAGACCTTCAAATATAAACTTGCAGGACTTAACTTACTACTAAGAGCAATACGATGAAGTAAGTAGCACTTTATAGTAAGGCTGGCTGCCTTGAGAAACTAAAGTCTCAAACTACAGGCCTTTAAAAAGGTTAATGATTTAAATATTGAAGCTTGTATTTACCGAGCAGAATCCACTTATGTGATTACTAGAAGGTAAGCCCCAGCATGGAAAAAAGTTTTAGTTTGCAAAAATATAGTTAGATTTTGCGTATATGAAGTTACTTGCCGTCTTCCCTCCCCCAGCAAAAAACATGCAAGTACTTACACAACTAAACGCTAAGATCACTGGCGAGGCTCTTCACATGCATAATGAATATATATTTGTATAACAAAATTCAATACCTTACAGCTTTTGAAGGCTGTACCTTGAGTCAAACCTGGTATAACGATAGTCCTGGCAACTCCCAGTGTGAAGTTCTTGGCCACAGACATGGTGTTTAGCTTCCACAAATTTGGAGTTTCAGCAATCTGCAGTGTTTTGCAACAGACCACTGTTAAGGGGGCAAAATGACTCTAGAGCTGGATCAACAGATGACAGCACTCTCTTTCAGCTTCCAAATACAGGTGGTTTTTGCAGTACAGAATTTGCATCCTTCTACACACGGCTAGTCACAAAATTTATTTAGTACCCTGGGAAAGTAAAAGAACATGTTTCTCCCACAAAAGTCTTTCTGTAAAGATCTTAGCTCATAATAAATGGGAATTCTCACGTAGTCAGTATATGATGGTTACCATTCCTTTGTACCCAAGGCCCTCTGACCAAAAAAGAAGCACTGTGTATTTCACAACCATGCCAGGTACCTTGTTCGCAGTCTTACTAGAAGAAAGTGTAGTGAGCTAATAAACATTTCACGACTGTTTAACAGACATAGGCTCAACCGTTCCACTGCTGCAAAGAAGTGACATGAAGACAAAGATGTCTTCATATACACTGCAAGACACTATAACACATTATCCGTTCAGGCTTTCACTGCTTGAATTTAGTGCCCATTTACTGTCTGAATTACAAATCAGGAGAAAGTAGTTCATATTCAATCAGCTCCAGAAATGACTGTCTCACTTTTCCGGATTAAGCATCTTGACCAATGCTCTCCCATCAGCTGTGCCTAAAGAAAGATATAAATACCACTTCTGTGAGCTGAGAACTGAGTAGGTAAGTCAAACTTCTGTAATCTCCCAAGGAACAATGCCATTTCTTTTGCAGAAAGGGGACAAGACACAGATAACACATAAAACTTAAAGCAGGATTAGTTTTGACAGTAGTGACTCCTACTTCCAGAGTCGAGTTTACTATAGCTTAAGCAACTCAATAGGGCTGCTCAGTGTTTTGTTATTCAAGTGAGCAGGGATTGTTGTGACAGTGTTAAAAGTGCCCAGGTAGCACTTGGAAAGTGATGCTGTCTATATGAATCGCATTTTGCTTGGTAACTTTACACCAGCGGTAAAATCAGAGGGGCCGCTCCTTTTCCTCAACACGATAAACGGTGTTCTGTCTCATCATCTCTCTGGCACTACTAAATTTTTATTAGGCAAGAAACTCAAAGACTGTTTGGAAGTTTGAGGTAACTTAAAACGGTGCACGCTGGCAAATTACCAAGCCTTTAAAAAGCTCAAAACATAACACCAAAACCAGAGATTCAGGTTAATGCCTTTTTCCCCCCCCCCTCTTTTTTAGGGGGAGAGGGGAACAGGGGGGCAGGGACAGAGAGGACTTCTGCCTAGCTAAGCCTTTTAAAGAGTGCTGTTATCTCCCTGCTTTCAAATTTGTTTTGGAAATGTTCAAGAAAGAAAAGTTTTCAGCACACTGCTTTTCCCCTCACAGGATCTTATAGATGGATAAAAGTGAGATCATCCTAAGAGCTTTTTCCAAATCATTTCTTTAATATATATATATTATACCTAGCCTCAACTAGTTTTTAATACTCCAGCCTTTTTGCTTCTCAGTAAGTGCAGACACAAGACTGTGCATGCCAGCAGTCAGGGTCCTTAAAATTTCATTTGAGTATGATTCCAAATATTACCAAGTTGCATCACCTTATATCCAGCTCACTTTAATAAGGCATAGGAAAAGGAACTGCTGTTTGTCCTTTTTTTTTTTTTTTTTTAAATCTTTTCCTTCCTCCAAAAAAATCACATGGAGAAGAGATTATTAAAATAAGTCTTTTTTTTTCATCATACAGTAATAAGCCTACTTTGAGGTTGTGATCATTTAAATGCTAACAGCATGTAACAAGTAACCAAAGCACCAATACTCATCTGGCGTCACAGAAATTTAATTATGAAGGGGCAGCTGGGTCGAATACTGGATTTCACTCAGACAACTCATTCCAAAGGAAACTTTAAATCAAAGCTAGATCCGGCTGTCCTGTGACAGCTCCTGGGAATTAAAGGATTTTTTTAAAACTGTTACTTATTGCAACCTTTTCCCTTCCTTTTTCATTTTAGCAGAATCATTCAATACGAAATAGAACCAGAACACACCATACAACAGCCTCTAAGATGAGCTCTTCCCCATGTTGTAGTTAAGCACAGATACACGCAACTCCCACACCCAGAACTGTTGCCAGCTTCTCCTTCCCTTATTGGGAAGTATGGGCCTGGCCCAAACAAGATTTTTTCACCCACAGATAGAGCAATTTTGAAATGTCTTTAACCATAACTTTTTAATGGAAAGAAAGTAAATGCCTTGGGCAAAGGATAGCATACTGGGGTGAATCAGTTTAATTAAAGATTAAATTCACATTTTGGATTCCTCCTATCTTGTCTTTTCCCTTCCCCCTACTGCTAAAACACAAAGCCTAAAAATATACTGATGGCCTTCCTAGAATTCAGCATGATAAGCTACCAAATAAGCAAATAATAGCTTTAGAAATTACACCAGCTGTCTATCTGATCACAGTTTCAATGCCAAAGGGGACTGAACAGCCCATATGTTAACAAGGGACAGCTGAAGAAGAGGGGGGCCAGGGAAGATAAGAGTAGCAGCTGATGAGGAAAATAATAAAGTCACAATCAGGGTTGTACTCTCATGGATTTTTAAAAAAGCTTTTATAGCACCACAACGCAGTCAAGCTTGAAGAGAAACAGAATAGCAGATAAAGCCTAAATACCTCAAACATACTTGCTATTCCTATCTTTATAGATTTAACTTCTAGATAGAAACTATGATAATCTTAAAATGACCTCTGTCATAAGTGCTAGATTCACTACTTTGTTTTCAAAGTAAGCAGACCAACAGCTGACTGAGTTAAAGGTGATGCATTTTTCTTCACGTTCTCTTTTTTTGGTCTTAAAAAAAAAAAAGTACAGGTGTATATTCACATGACTTAATATACCACTGGAAAGCAGTCATATTGAACTGAGTCCTGCAAATGTTTATTTGAAACATTTTTGTTTCAAGACCTCTAAAATAATCAGGTAGCCACTTCCATGATCTATGGTCACGGGACTCAGTAGAAGAATTCAGTTCATCAAATGTGTTTCCGTACGCAGGTTATCATAGTAAAATGTCTTTTACACTAAGCAAAACATTTTTTCTTTTTGGGAGAACTGTCTCACGTTTGCACAAGAAAAGTAGTTAGTGTTACTAGCTTCCCTAAACAGGAAAGGTCTCCACTGAACTGCTCTGAATTCCAGACAGCTTTAAAAAGCAAGACACTAGTTACATATATTCTGCCATGGCAAGTAGAGTTTCAGTATAACATCAAATCATCAGGATAAGTACAAATTTGTTATTTTTATTAAAATGTGACAGGACTTAAAATAACAAACAGAATGATACCAAAAAAAAGGAGAAGTACACAATTAACACTACTTCATGAACTGTTAAAATTGCATACCCTCTAAACACCAAGTTAACCAAGTTATTGGAAAGGCAGGCCACAAATCGGTAATCAATGAAGTGTATTTTACTCCTCACAAGGTCAGTCCTCAGAGCCAGAAGGCAAAGATAATGGTAGCTTACAGAAACAAGTACCCTCTATTTGAAGGAAAGATCTCAAAAGCAATCGGCACTTTGACCCATCTCTTCGAATGCGTTCTCCTCTCAACCAACTCAGTGCACCTACTAGCCACCCTTTTTCACAGATGGCAAATGCCCAATTTTTCAAGGCAAGATGTTCAAAGACCACGCTGTCATCCTTTCAAGTTAGAGACCTGAATGTGCAGAATTTCTCAAGAAACTGACTGCTTTTGCAAGGTACTTTTTAAACATACCGACTTTCAAAGGCTGTAGTCTCCAAACTACTATACTGCAGTCAAAGCATATTCAAAAACGTTCTTTATTAAAATAAAGTACACGTCTGAGCACATTTTTTCCATGCTAACATCTTTTACAATCATACTTTTATTTACCGGTCAGAAAAGAAGCATACCAAAAAGACTTCAAGTACAAAAGGCTCCTTCCACTTCATAGGAGAGGCATAAAAGCCTAACCCAAAAGCCAGCAACCAAAACACTCAAGCTGTTTGGTGGTTTTAACAGCCACAGCAACAGATTCATCAAGGCATCTCACAGAATTCATTCTGGCTGATGTCAGCTTTAGTTGAAAATCCCAGGATCAACATAAGGGTATGCAAGAAACTCCCCCAGTTTATTGCCGTCCGCATCATAATGGAGCATTCGAAAACAAACATCGCAGAAGAAACAAGGATCCTCTGGTGCCAAACTGTCTTTGTTGGTTACCCACCTACAGGTTACAAAATAGAGGTGTTTTCCATGAAAGTCTAACACATACATGACAAACATATCAACATTTTACTCAAAGCTGGGGATGGACAGCAAACATCAGCAATGAAGTTATACTGACCAGGTCCTACATACATTGCACACCTCCCTCCCACCCCAGGCATACAACTTCTTTCCAAATGCCTACCCACTCTGTGTCAACCCCAATTGCTGTCTTACACTGCTTACAGCAGCATTTCCTGGGCAACTCCTCAAACCTGCATAGCTGGTACAGTGAGTAACCAAAAAGAAATGTTAACAGGAAGCTCCTGTCCACCCTATGGCAATTTCAGTCATTAAGGGTAAATAGATTTATCTTTTAAAGAAGAGCCTTTGATATGGAATAGACTTGTAACTGTCCCAAACTACTCTGAACAAGAACCAAACCCATTTAGAGGGCTACAGGAAGGGCCTGGATGATGCAGGCAAAACAAGGAGGCGATTGCCGCACACCCAAGCAAGCAGCAGAGTTAACATAAACTCAGTTGCCAGCACACGGATGGGCTGTCATGTCACGGAGCAATTTATGGTAGCACTCAGAGGCCCTGACAGTTCAAGGCCTCCAGTGATTAAAGATGCTATCTGCACAGATTAGAACATGCAGGACAGCCAGCCAAAGCAGCTCTGGCTATCCATGGTTTAGCATCTCCCCACATAAGCTTAGTGCTTAATCCTGGTTTTAATTTAATGCATTTACATCACCTCTGGTAATGCCTTCCCCATCCCATCTTCCCCCTACATTGACCCTGTGGCTCCACCTCCCCTTATGGCTAAAGGCCTCACAGATTATAACCACCTGTGAAGCCATCCTAGGGGCTCTACTAAAAACACTAGAAACGGGCTCCCACCATGATGGGAATTGGCCTCTTTGCCTGATTCCAGGGAAGACTAAGGCCAAATAAGTAAGGTAACGGTACACCTGCTGTGTCAAACTGAGGCAGAGTGCAAGCTGCCCTGCAGAAAGAAGGGCAGCAGGTGCTTTTGGAAATAGTTAATCTAGAATTCTGTGAAATCAGGAAGCCTAGTTAAGTTCTGTAGAGCTCCCTGAGACTGATTTCTGCCATGCCTAATGATGGGCTTTCTCCTATCTACGCAAACAGCATTAAATACCAGAAGGAGCACCAAGTTCGTGTTCGGTTCTTTTCACTGCAGAAGATACACGCATCAAAGTTCCTTCAAGCACAGCTGCATGGCCCAGAGCTTTCATGCAGAGGTCATGAATTTCTGTTGAGGGTACAGGGGCAAGCCGTACGGCTTCTTCTAACGTAATACGGTAAAATCTGGAGTTAAGTTGCCGAGATCCAAACTTCCCTCTACATATACACTGGATTGCATGAAAGCTCCATAAGGCTTCTTGCAAAGGAATTTGAATTACTCATCCTGTCAGAACAGAAAATGCAGCATTTTCTCCCAGCAGTTAGATTTTCAAAAGTAAGTAACTGATCAGGAACCTAGCTCTATGTATGCAGAAGAATTCAAGTCAGAGACTTAACCTCTTCATTCCAGTTCTTTTGATCATCCTAAATCATCTCCAGTGAATACTTCCGACAAGAAGCCTTTTCCAGGGCTGTGAGAGGACAACTTGCCTGAAGATCTGATATTTAGATCAGATCAAGATAGGATTCAGATATCAAAGAATTTTTGCATAAAGATTATTTTGCACAGCATAGCACAAATATACACAGAGCTCAGATTTTTTAGAACGTTACTAGAGGCACCTAGAAAGATTTCTTGAAGACGACATCTTAAAAGGATGGAGAACGCAGCATACCTGGCTGTATACATTTTGCACACAAAGCATTTTCTGGTACATAACCAGTGTTTCTTGATTAGCAAGGGATAGAGGTTCCTGTCCAGGCAGTCGTCATGATGAACAAGCCTTGGGGAAAAAAAAGACACAATAAAGAGACAGCCACATTTAAACTGATCCGAACGTAAGCATGGATATTGACGATAAAGGCATGATTTAGATCCTAGTGCACACTAGGACGAAACTTCTGTTTAGCATCTCTTAACAGCGATAAAGTCCTGGAGCTTTGACTGCTCCATCCTTGGCTTTTATGGTTAGGAGTAAATTAGTTAGGAGCCTGTATGAGCAACTCAGAAGTATACAAACCATCTACTTCAGGCATTCAAGATACAATTCAGAGCGCTCAAAAGCTTATGTCTCCTACACAGACTAATAGAGAGACATAAACATCATCAGGAAATGTTTAGAAGCTCATAATCCTGACATCATCTACTTGCAACACCTATGCCTTTTTTGGGTTGTATTCCTCTTCAGAAGTACAATGTATTAACAACGCTTAGATACATCAGGCTTCTGGAAACAGAAAATGATTTTCCTCCCACCACAGCCAGCCAGTGTTATGCTACCCACCACACTCTGAGCATACGCCGAGTGAAGTACATGCAATAAAAATAATCAACAAAACTGTTGATGTAGTTGCCACTTCACGGCCACTATCAACTCCTCTTTCCTTTTTTCTATTCTTACGTCCCACTGCTTGGCACCAAGTTCAAACTAACAAGCCCAGCTAACTCTAGCCAGAGGCGCTGTCAGCACTGTGCTCCCCAGTGCCCCAGAATTAGTATGCAGATATGCCACATGCTTGCTTTGTACAGAAAGTGCTTTTCACCTTGGGTGCCGTTCCTCCCATACTGCGGTCGTGTCATGCTAGTTAGAAAGCAGTATTACAGATTACTGTTAAAAAAGGTATTCTAACAAACATTTAACACAACGTCTGAGGTATTTCCACAGCAGGCTTGCTTTCAACTACCAGAGAATTCCCAAAAAGCAGCCATTTACCTTATATCTGTGATGATGATGATGTGCTCACAGTCCCCTTGGTGGCAGAAAAGGTATGGAAAGCCAACTCTGAGGGACAAATCATTAAATGTATAGTCTTCCATCTTGACAGACTGAAGATTTCCATAGCCTCTATCATGAGATTCTGACCACTCAATAACTGTTCTGAAAACAGAAAGGTCATCAGTGTAGCAAAGCTAGAACTGCAAGTGCACAGGAAAGGAAGGTCACTTTCCTTACATTTTAGGGAACCTGCAAAACTTTGCACGGGGATACAGTTAAAAGATTCAAATCACAACAGTTCCCAGCAGTTCATAATAATATGAAATAACTTCATAGTAAGACCACAGCCCCACAGAACTGTGCACTGTCTACAGACGTTTGCCTCTAAAGCCCCAGCAGGCATTTTCCTGAAGAGTTTGTCTTAAATAGATGCCTAACAACGGCACAATTTAGATTTCCAAAACTTAGGAATGGAGGGGCAGTGGCCACTGTTGCAACTATTTCTTGGCCTTTCAGCACACTCATACATACCAGACTTGTACTTCTACAAGATTTGAAAGTGTTTCCAGAACAATATTAGCACTTCTGCAAACAGCATATAACAAACTCTTCCATGAGGATCATCATCACTCATGAACAGAAAAAGAAAGAGGAGTCAAGTAATTCATTTCTTTGAAGTCACACACAAAGTCCAGCAAAACAGGAACCGAGTTCAAACATATGCTTCTTCCATACCACCTGTTCTAACAGCTTGATCTCCTAAGTCTCATCAATGTGTCAAAAAGCCCATACTTCCTTACAATAAACAAGTATGTAACGTTTAAATGGATAGCTCTCAGGCTCAATTAGTGTGAGCTATACCTCCAAATAAAAGAAATCCAAGGCTCTTGTCAGTGTCCTCTCAGATTTCTTTTCCTCAACAGTCATAGAATCTCCTGCTCACTTTAGTGTGAAGGCATTCGGCACATTTCCAAGACTGAGCAGAAAAACAGCCCCTACACAGTAGAGCTTATTCTCTTCCTACCCCATCATCTACCTCACAGGTGAGGTTTCTTTGGTGATCATCACAACCAGAGACGTCATTTAAAAAGCCAATACAGACTGGCAGCTGTCAATGTCTTCCTTTCTGCAGCATCCTATCACAACAGAGCAAAAACTGGATCTGCAGGAAAAATATGCGTTCTTCCCCTTTTCAGAAGGGAAGTAGGTAGAAGAAGCAAGTAAATTTAAAAAATAAACATCTACTTGAAAATCTATTTAACAAACAGGTAGCATACAAAGTCCATTCTAGCTTCATATACTAGACTTTCCAGTCCTAAAAACACCACAAATCATTAAAAAAAGAGATAAAATTTTCCTTCCCTATGAGAGGGAGGGAGAGGGAGAAGGATATGGAGAGAGAGAAGTAGAGAGAGAGAGAGAGAGAAAGAGAAGTCTGCATTAGTGTTACAGGAGATTCAACACTCAAAACATTACAAAACCATGACAAGAATGTGCACTTTAGTTATCTAAACTACATAAAAATGCCTCATTCAATAGCTTCCTAAGATAAGCTGTGCACTGGTTTTAGATGCTGATGACCCAAAAAGGCTTACACAACTGCTGACTATGGAGTCACTTTGCTAATGTTACCCTAAAGCCAATACAGGTTATCTTAGTTCTTTCACCACTATCCCCATCTTAGCTCTTACAGTTTTCTATCAAAACACAAAACAAGGACACAAGCACTGACAAAAAAAAAAAAAAAAAACCAAACCCCAAAACCCCCCCCCCTAGCAAGGTCAGGACAAACCTTGCTACAAAACAGCTCTTGCTGGGATGACAGTGAACTGTTGCAATCCTCCTCTCTCCTTCCCCCTCCAAACACACAAGCAGTGAAAACAGCCACCTGGGAGCAAGTCCCTATTCACATCCACGTTAAGAAAGACAGACATCCAATTTCAGAAGGTTGAATCATCCCACTTTTGGGGTCTTAGAAAGAAATCCATCATCTTCGAAATGCGCCCTTAGTTACACAATTTGTCACATGCAGACAGGCTGTTTTTACCACTCTTTTCTCTACCAAAGACAATTAGCATTTTATGGCACTTCTCAGCAGTGCCAGGACTCATGGGATCATGAATCATCTCAAGAAATTAAGCTAATCCATTAGCGTTCCATACACATGTAATAAATTCTGCAGCAGGACCACATAACTAATCCACATACAGAAATAATCGTGTAGGTTCTGAGGCACCTGCAACCTCACGAAATAGATAAGGAGGGGAAAACATCCCACTAAGACAACACAACCAAGTATCATTCTGTTCATCTATCTATACTGCTTGCACAACAACATTCATAGATTTGTCCTCTCCTAAAACTAAAAATTAGAGACAAATTGTATTTTTACAAAATGTTAATTATGTGTGGGTTTGGAAGTTTAAAACAGCTATATAACAGCAGAAAGAAGTGGAACAGATTAACATGACATATTACAGCCAAAAAGAGAAAAAGAAAACATACAAATTTTTAATTTAAAGCCACGTGCAATTTAGCATCTAAAAAAGAAGTAACTGGTAACTTAAGACAAACATTTGTTTCTCATCATTTTAATTTTTTGTTGCTGCTGTCAAAACAGTTTTATAGAAACAAGTGACTTGAGGAGAGAGAAAAAGACTAGGAAAGGCTGTGCTTTTTCATCCATGTTAGTTTTTTTTTTTTTTTAAACCTTTGAATTGTGCTCTTCCAGGTTCTTTCTGGCATATAAAAGGAAGTTGTTTTGGTTCCTTTTCAATAATTTCCTAATGACTGAGGCCAGATTACAGTGTATGTTACCAAGCTGAACACAACCCCTGTAGAGGGCTTAGCAAACAGTTAGAAGAGGCAGGAAACAGCCTTGTGCAGTGGATCTTGAAGCAGGGAGATGCCCCAGACCCAGAACCAAAAGCAAGTAAGGAACCATACCGTCCAATTAGTTTATTACATTTTGCCGAAGAAAAACAACAGCAAAAAAATAACAACCACATCTATCACAAGAGTGACATAGCTACCACACAAACCCATCCTGGCCTGGGGAAAAGGGCAAGCTGCCTTGCACAGCATTCATTACTGGAAGTACAGGGAAGTTTAGAGACACTGACTGAACCCATGTGGAATCATTTCAGAGTGGAATAATAGACTGCTGCTTAGGGACACGTTCTGCATATGCAGTATATTTATGCAGATCTGTAACACAAAAGTGATACTAAAATACACTGTGTACATGTACAGTTGAACTGTTAAAAAGGTTACAAAACACAAATTTTCCAATATTTCCAGTTGCTCTTCAAAGAGCAGAGGTACTGTTTACCTTCCGGCAAAAAACTTATCTGTTAATTACATACTAGCACTCAGGTATTGCACAAAGCCCTTTTAAAAGGTCTGTTGATATGCAATATACTTGAATGAACCTTTCATTTGTGGACCTCAAGAGCATTTTGGCAGAGTACCTCCCAGATGTGCATGACATCCAGATAGCGACAGGATTACCTAAGACAGTGAGGTAGACCCAAGTTCTACACCCTTCCCTCTAATTACGGTAAGCATGTACAAGCTTACACATAAGTGAAGGTTACTATTGAGTAATTACATATAAAGCCTAAATACTGCTACACTCTGGCAACTCCTTACCAATTTTGGGGGTCACACAGTTCCAAGTCAGTCACTGCTTTAAAGTTCCCCTAAATTTCAAAAGACAGCAATCCATCAGAGTGAACAGAAGGCGGTCACTGGACGCATTGTTAGAAACTTCTTAGGAATTTCAGTCAGATCTTTCCTGATGAACGCTAGCCACAATTATGGCTCAGAGATGCTTCTTCCTCTCACACCTTGCATTATCCCTCAGTCTGTGAGGAGAGATCCCCCATCAGATTTCTCCAGGGAACCCTGGGAGTAGTAGCCTCTGCATAAAAGATCCATGACTGCTGCACAAAAGCAAAGGCTGACAAAAAAAAACACAAAGAGGAGGAACGAAAAAGAAGCTAAAATTATTTATACTAACAAAAAAAAAAAAATCAAAAAAGCTTCTCTTACCGTCTCCGTACCAGGTAACAAGCTACAGATGTTTACCTAACTTATGAGAGCAGGAACTTGGTCCTTTTGCATAGCCTGTATACTCTTAACTGCACTTTAAGAGAAGCCAGGGCTGACACCAACAGGTAACTTATACATATAGCCTCTTCCAGGGAGTCTAGGAGTGCCATTCAGATTTAAATCTGCCTCTCCGATTCTTTAATTAGTCAGAAGTTGTTCTTCTATTTCAAACAGCTAATGTACTTCTGGCAGGTCAGGATGCCACTCCCCTTCCTGCCTGAAAGGAGGCAAATCCTTCCCCCACTGACAGTTAATTACCATCTTGCTGAAGCTACATGCAAATTTCATCATGAAGACTTTCCACACGCTGAGCCAACACTCCACTGCAAGTTGTAAATTCACAATCATCGTTGACGCAAACAAATGGAATTAACGCACACTGCTTATTATCAACACTTGATGGCAGGCCAGACACGGTGTTATTCATTTACTTTGCAGAAATCATCTGTGTCACAAAACCAAATCTCAACCCTGTCTTTCACGACAGTCTCAAATGACTCCTCTGCCTGACCACAAGAGAGCTGAGCCTCTGAACTCAGAGCTAATCAACTACTGTTTGACCAGCTAGTGGTAGAAAGGTTTGTTCATATCTTTCCATTCACTTCTGCACAAGTGAAGACTAATACTTGGGATGTCTCTGTGTTCTTAAACAAGAAGGTGCAAAGTCTTTCCATATTTTAATTTTTCATGGATCCTTTGTGTGCACCCCAAGAGAACGGCAACTGAATGGGGTGGGGAACAGAGGGAAATCATCTTCATTTCTACGTTTGCTCAGCAACCACTTGCAAACACCAAAGCTTATCAGTTAACAGAAATCCAAAGGTTTACCATCTCACTTTATTTCTGGCATTTTAGAACATATTTCAATGAAAAGCCAGTCCACAGGCACACGTCTATGCACGAACTTACTGCTACTAGTAATACTGCCCAGTGCTGGCACTAAAGATATTTCTCTTCACGTGCCATCAAGAATGCACAAAACAGTTCAGCTTGGCAATGCCACCACACAGTAGTTACTTTTGATGTAACCCACAATCAAAACCATTCCAGCTAAATTTATGCTGAAAAGAAATCCTCCCTCCCTCTCTCTTGCATGTTCTCCAA